TATTAATAAAATATATTTTAAGTTATAAAATTTATATTTTGTTTATTTAAATAAAGTCTATAAATTTAGCTTTTTTTAAATTAATTCGAAAATATCTAATAAATCATATAATTATTGCGTTTAAATATATTTCCTATTATTTATAGAGAATTATTATGATTAACTGGAGGAAAAATTCTCCTGTAATACAAGATCTGATTATGCATATAGAATATATTCCGATTAATATTATGCATTTAATTGTTTTGATAGATACAGGAATGATTTAATTATAACGTTTTTGATATTTTAATAACAATAACAAAAGGTTGAATTAGGAAAAATTATGCTTTTTCTCATTTATTTGAACAAAAGCACATATTAATATTTGACTTCGCTTTATCTTTATGTTCTAAAGTTTAATGATACTATTTAACTTCTTTATATTACGACAATATTTAACTTCTTTTATATCATATCATAGTATTGTTTTATACTAAATAACATAGTTGCTCAAACAGATCGAAATTTATATTATATCTATCACTAAAGCCACAGTTGCAGTTCTTGTTGCAAATATAAAAGGCAGTGAGCGAGATAGAGATAATTAGTAAAGGTTTTAGTGCCATCTCAATGTGTTTATCTTTATGTTACAATATAACTGAGTGATAAAAGTATACTATTCAAAAATAGTTACAATCACAGTTTTCTTTACTACTAAGAATTTGAAAGGATATATACTTATTTACTATATATATAATGGATCCATTGGATTTTTTAAGAAATAATGAGCAAACTGACTTTTTTTTAAAAAATGGACGAGATGAAAATAGAATTTTTTTTATAAATTTATTTTATGAACTTGAAGTAACTGAAATACTTGATAATTTTACTAATGATTTTACTAATAATTTTACAAATGAAAAAAATGAAAAATCAGTATTGAAAATTTATATAGGCCAAACTTTTTAGATATGAGATGATGCTAAGACCTTTTTAAAACAATATAGATTGGAACAAGGTTTTAGTATTCGAAGAAAGTATACTAAATCATGTCTTAAAAATAATATACAGATTATATATAAAATTGGATGGGAGTGTAGTTGTGAAATACTAGCCCAAAAAAGTGTTAAATCCAGAAAATTAACAAAATCATAAATCTAAATGTACTGGATATAAATAGAAAGTTAATAGAAACTTGCCTAAATCAACATCAGAAATTAAGTTTACAACTGTAGTAAATATACACAACCACCCTTTGTCACTTGCACCATTAGTTACAATTGCAAACTAGGCGATGATATGTTGGAATTTATTAACTTTTGTATAATACATGGTGTAACTAGAGCATAAAATATAGAACAGCTTTTAAAGAGTAAATTTCCAGGTCAAAATGTGTATAAGAAAAATTTATATAATACAATTCAGACAGCCAAAAAAAAACTTCCTTCCAGTAATGAATTAGATGTATCAGATCTATTATAGCAAATATATAACTTAAGAACTAATGATCCTAGATGGTTTGTAGAAGCTAAATTTGATGGTCCTGAATGAAGATTGTGTAGTCTTGTTTGGCTTTCTTCAGAATAGCAATATATTTGGACAAGATTTCATAATATCATTTTTTTGATACTATATTACGTACCAACAAGTATAATATAGGTGCATGCTTTTTTGTAGCGATTGATAATTGTAATCATACTCGTCTAGTTGCTACTGCATTACTAGAAGATGAAACAGAAAAGAGTTTTATCTGGGCTCTTTATATGATTAGCAAATGTACTAGTGATTTAGCATCACGAGTAGTCTATATGGATTTTGATCCAGCAATAGCAAATGCGATTTTAACAGTATTCCCAAATTCTTTGCATTGTTTATATTTGTTTCATATTGATCTTAATTTGAAGAAAAACTTAAGAAATAAAATGAATGCAGTTCAATTTGTTAAATTTCACAAAGATTTTTATATTTGCTAGAATATGATGGTTATTGATATTTTCGAAAGTAGATTTGAATCTCTTAAATTAAAATATATAGTTGCTGCTAGTTATATTAAACGTCAACTTGAGCCTTTCAAAACAAAGTGGGCAATTTGCTATATTAACAATCAGTTTACTGTAGGTGCAAACAGTACATAACGAGTTGAAAGTTTTAACAAAAAAATTCATGATCATATTAGAGCAAATTTCTCTTTAACAAATCTTGTTAAGAAAATTCAAGATCTTCTTGACCGAGAAGCTAAGTATGCTTGTGTTGAAGAGTATAAACACCAAATACTAGTAGTTGGACCTGCAAATATATTAAAAACTCTTTTTAAATCTTTAAATACTATTGCAAATAAATATCTTATAGAACCAGTATTGATAAAAGTTTGTAAACAAATGGAAGAATACTTTTATTACGATGTTTATAAGCTTGATCTTGCTGATTAGAATTCAATTGAAAAAGTATATTACTTAATAATTTTATTTAAAACTAAGTAGACGCTAATATATTTTTTTATTTTATTTAGACACATTTAGATGATATTGTAAGTGACAGAGTACGTGAAGATGATTATGAATTAGTACAAAGTTTATTAACAAATATTCTAAGAACGATTAAATGCTCTGAGATTCTTGAAATTTGGCGCATTACTTTTTTATGTGGAACTAAATCTCAATTCGTAATCTTAATCTCAGATGGTTCACATAGGTGTACCTATCCCTTAAATTGTAACACAGGCAAATTTGCCTGCGAAGATTTTTATTAATTTTTAAATTTTTTAATAAAATTTTGAATATTAATTTTAGCTATATACTTACTAAGTAAAAAATATATTTTAAAATCT